TATGTTTTGAATCCTGCATCAACAAATATAAGTTATACCTAATCAAAAATATAATGAATATATAACTTAGTTAATTATGTACTAGCATTAACATACCTAACATTTTCTTATGAATAGTATGAAATTCTCAATGAAAGATGAAGCTATCTAAAACCTAACGTTGATTTATAGATACACACATTTTAACGTTTACTTGGTGAATGTTTCGATTGCTGTAAATTTAGTAAGCACAAGATATTGTACCTCAGCCTGTACAGTGTGAATGAGTCTATCATTTACATTGGAGGAGATGCAGCCAAGAACACAGAGACCGTGTTCACGAAGCACTTGCAGAACGCTTGACAATGATGTTCTCTGAACGATAAAAAAAATTTCTACGCCAACCAAACATGGACGAACCACAACATGATTCGAAACTTCATTCCTAAAGTCTTCATTGCTACGCTCAGAGCTTCGGCCAGACAATAGCATGAGGTCATCTCTCTTGGAAGTCATGTCCTTGATGTTCCTCTGCAGATACTCTATGTAATTCACCGCCTCGTTTAATTGATCCGACGTTGAACGCTTTCCCTAAAGAACCAAATCAAAAACACATCAAGAAACAGAAACACAGGTTTAACAACAGACAACAAAAACCAAAGAGGCAGATTAATTAATATACATTTATTATCTTTAGATCTTATGATATTGGAGGCTAATCATTGCTACGAACATCAGCTCAAACAAAGAGACAAAGCATACTTTTACAGATTATAAGTTGGAGCAAAGAATTAAAAGCAAGATGCGTAAATTAGGGCTTTTGAAGAGATAGACCTGAATGAACTCGAGAGGGAGTAGAGAGCGAAGAGACGCGTAAAGAGAAGCCATTTCTTGTCTCCTTTGTTTCTCAACTTCTCTGTGTAATATCTTCTCCATGTTTTCTTCACTACAAACTTTCAGCTTTTTACTACACCTTCTCTTCTCTGGACAATCGTTCATCTCAAACCCGTAGTTGTTTTTAACTTTATTTTGGCAAAGATTCTTCTTGCA